TCATTTTATTGGGGACTCGTACAACTCCTACCACAATCCATACATCCATCCGTTGTATCAAGCACATTTGTACATTTGTTGCCATCATCATTCTCAAAACATTTGCTTTCTACTTGAGCCCTTGGTATCAGCTCCTCATTTTTCCTCTCTCTCCCTGCACCCACTCCCTCATGAACCCTTGACCATATAAATTATTAGTATTTTGTCATGTCTTATACTTTCCAACATCTTTCTTCACCCTCTTTTCTGTTGTCCATCCCCCAGGAAAGGGGTTATATGTAGATCCTTGTAGTCGGTTCCCCCTTTCTACCCCATCTTCCCTCCACCCTCCTGGTATCGCCACTCTCAGCACTGGTCCTAAAGGGATCATATGTCCTGCATTCCCTGTGTTTCCAGTTCCTATCTGTATCAGTGTACATCATCTGGTAGCTGGATTTGTAAGATAGAATTGTAATCATGATAGCGGGGGAGGAAGCATTTAGGAACTAGAGGAAAGTTTTATGTTTCATTGTTGCTATACTGCATTCTGACTGGCTCATCTCCTCCCTGGACCCTTCTGTAAGGGGACATCCAGTTGCCTACAGATGGGCTTTGGGTACCCAATCTACACTCCCCCTCATTCACAATGATATGATTTTTTGTTCTTTGATGCCTGATACCTGATCCCTTTGACACCTCTTGATCACACAGGCTGGTGTGCTTCTTCCATGTGGGCTTTGTTGCTTCTGAACTAGATGGCTGCTTGTTTACCTTCAAGCCTTTAAGACCTCAGACACTCTATCTTTTCATAGCCTGGCACCATCAGCTTTCTTCACCACATTTACTTTTGTACCTGCTTTATCTTCAGCGATCATGTTAGGAAGGTGAGCATCATGGAATGCCAGTTTAATAAAAAAAAGTGTTCTCGCATTGAGAGAGTACTTGAGTGGAGGCCCTGTGTCCATCTGCTACCTTAATACTGAACCTATAAGTATGTGCACATAGATCTATTTCCCCATCCTCATATATAAATATATTTACATATGTACATGCTGTACTTAGACCTCTATAAATGCCCTTTGCCTCCTAGTTCTTTCCTCTATTTCCTTTGACCTTCCTCTTGTCAATTTCCTTTACGTTCCTCTTGTCCTGCAGGGTTGTTCCGAGTTGGAACGGACTTGACCGCAGGAGGCTGCTGTAGTTGTTACTGGGGAGTGTAGAGTCTGAAGCCTCAGTGAGTAGAAGACCGGGAGCAGAAATGGACATGCTCTTAGCCCTTCAAAGCCTTTGAGGTTCCAGGAAAATTAATTCGTTTGGAACCAGTGCAGAAACACACACACACACACCAGCTTCCCTCTTACAGTCCCTAGATCTTTATATGTATTGTGTTGGGGGTTTGGGAATTTAAATGAATAAATGTGATCTGTTTGAAATGAACAACTTTGGATCAGTGTGTACTGTCCCAAATTTGGCTCAGTGTCCCAAACCAGCATAGATGATTTTGTTGTCTTGAATAATTGTTATAAAACTAGTGCCGAAGAAAGTGTTTCTTGTGAATAATTTCTGTGAAGAGAATTTGATTTAATCAACAAGCCACTGTGACTATGTTTGCCGTGAGTCAGCATATGATTATGCTTCATAGCGCCCTCATTGAACAGAGTAGCACTGCCCTGTAGGTTTCTGAGACAGTCCTTGTGGAAGCAGACAGCTTCATCTTGCTCCTGAGGAGCAGCTGGTGGGTTTGAAACTCATCTGTTGTCAACCACCCACCACTGACCCACTGCACGACCAGAGCCCCTTACTATGACTTAGTGAGAATTTGGTTTAAACCCAAACCAAATTTACTGCCAATGGGTTGCTGCTAACTCATAGTGACCCTCGAGGCCAGGGTAGAACTGGCCCCTGTGAGTTTTCGAGAGTGTAACTCTTACGGGAATAGAAAGCCTTAGCTTTCTCCCATGGAGCGGTTGGTCGTTTCTAACTACTGGTCTTGTGGCCAGCACCCAACTCATAACCTACTGTGCCCCTCTGCTTCAGCTGCGATTAGAAAACTGACTGCCATCGAGTCAATTCTGACTCAGAGCGAACCTATAGGACAAGGTGAAACTGCCCCTGTGGTTTTTCACAGCGTTTCTACAGGAGTAGAAAGCCTCATATTTCTCCCACTGAGCTGGCTGGTGGTTTTGAACTGCTGACCTTGAGGTAAGCAGCCCAATGCACAACCACTGCACCACCAGGGTTCCTTCAACTGTGACTATAGGCTACCCTGAAATAACACACCTCGAAGTCTCTTTCAATGTAGAATTCTGTTATGATGGCAATGTATAATACCGAGACATAGTGTTCATTTTTAAGCTCTTAGACTGAGAGCATTGATCATGAAATAGAAAAAATAAAGAGTAGCAAATGTAACTTTAAAAGGCTCCATTTCTTACATAAATACAGGTTGACTCACTCATGGAATGCGCACACATTTGGAGTTCATTTTCAAGTGGAGATGATGACATTTGTGTGGGCACCCCACGCTTATCAACTTAGAGCATTTATCAGATAGAAGGCTGCTTTGACTTAAGGTTCTTCCTTGATCATGAACTTGAGAAATGTATACCATATTTTATTAGACCTCATCCGTGACAGGCACACAGCCAAAAGACAGAGCCTGCAGGAGAACTAAACTGTCTTACAGTGACAGCATG